CGCGTTTATTCCAATTTGCTGAAAATGGCAAGTGTAGGCGAATTTCCCTGGAGTTGATTTCTTGAGGACCGCACTCAAGTTTAAAGAGAGAAAAAGAGATTCGTCGTCGCTTGTTTACGTCCTCCATAAAACTTGCAATTAGGCAGTTTCACGTCGTAGTCGTGCAAGGACGGTAAAGAAATGTACAAAAAAGCGTGATGCACGTGCAAAGTTGTTGTTTTGCGTAATAAACCCATTGCTTTTTTGTCGTCCTGGTAGCCGTTGCCGTCGTCGATGCTAAAGCTCCCTATTAACATTCTAAGGAATGCATTTTAAAGCCACAGTTGAGGGAATAGAATTTGAGGAACTTTGAAAAAAAGATGGTTGTTTCAATGGAGTAAAGGCAAGAAATCGCTTTACAGCGACTTCGTTAAAAATATGTTATTCTAAATAAGTTCAGTAGAAGTTACGTAGAAGACGTAGGCCTGGTTCAGACGTCGTACTTTTCATGTGCCGAACCTAATTAACTGAATAAGTTCGACTTTGGAGCGACACTGGCGCGATATCTGATTCAGACAGCGTACCGTGTGTCGAACCTAAGTTAAGTTCGACAAAAGTTCGACAGACTTTGTCGAACTTAACGCTTTTGCCGCACCAAGCTAAAACTGCCGTACCAAATTGATTCAGACGCCGCTCCTTTACCGTACTTAATTCATCAGTTAGAATCGGCACATGAGTGGAGCGGCGTCTGAACTGGGCCGTACAAGACGTAATACAGCCAACTCTCTTTATGGTGGACACTGTAGGGACCTCAAGTTCGTGTACCTCGAGTCCGCAATAGCGGGAGTTTATTTCTGTCAAATCTCTGTAATTTATTTTTGCCTGGGATTTAACTGCTGTCCATATTATCGGGGTGTCCGTTATAGCGGGGTGTCTGCAAGGCGAGATTTGACTGTATATAGATTTACCAAAGGCTAAAGGTAAAGCTACTGCTGATAAATTTATCATTTATTTAAACCAATAAACTTGTAGCCATCACGTTGAAAACTAGTAACTTGTCAGCGGATAACTTCAAAAAACAAGTAATCTCGATGGGTCAACTTCTGAGCCCGCGATATGGTCATGTGATATTGGTCAGCAGATACCCTGTTTTGACAGCTATAACAATTAACCAAAACATGGATGCGCAGTATCAGGTTGCAGGCTCCCACAATAACTAGAAAAATAGAACATTGGTTTACTTGTGGTGCGGACGGACGGACGAACGGTCACGAGACTACCAAAATTTTCTCGGATGGAGAGAACCCTAACCCTAACCAAATTTTCTTATCTAAGGGCCACTGCTGAAGATATGACACACACTTAATAAAAGAGGAAGGAAATAGACTGACAAGTTTATGCACAGCCGAAGAACCAACCCTAAACAGCACGAGCCAGCAAATGTTCCCTTTGACTGCTCGTCACTAAATGTGGGTGAAAGGAAGGGAGGGAAGAAGGAAAAGTACGAAAGCAAGGAAGGGAAAGGGGAAGGGAAAGGAAGAGAGGAAAGGAGGGAGGAAAGAAAAAGACGGGAAGGAGTAAGGACAAGGAAAAAAGTAAAAAGGAAGAGAGGAAGGAAGACGAAGTAAGGAAGAGGAAGGAGAAAGGAAGGAAGCAAACGGAAGGAAAAGAAGGGAGGAGGGAAGGGGGAAAGGAAGGGAGGAAGGAAGGAAGGAAAAGGAAGTGCTAAATGAAGAAAAAAGGGAGGGATGATCAAGGACGGAAAATGTTTTAACTCTGAAAAGACTTGAAGAAAGAGAAGGGAAAACGAAATAGTGGGCTTCTGGGCCTTTAATTCTATGGTAAGTGTTTTCGGAAAATGTGTAAGATCTGTATGGTTCAACGCTAAAGGAACGTCCGAGAGCTTTAACGATTACCTATTGCGTTTTGGCTTAGAAATGAGAATTCAAGTCACTTAAAGGAAATCAGAGCTCCCCTACCGAAGTCGAGGAAAATTTCACATGGAAGGCCCGCTCCATTAAATGTCATGATAGATGAAGCTAATAAATACAGTTAGCGTTTGAGAAAACCAAACATCTCCCACTTGTCAGTTTTCCATTTTATTTGACTATCAGCATCACAAGCTTTGTGCATTTTTAAAACCATTTGTTAACGAGATTGTTTTCCTAGCTAAATGTCAATTCATTAACTATAAAACAGTCTGTATTATTGCACTATTTACGTTACAATCGTAACGCAGATGAGTATTGAAAGTTTCTTCGTTATTTAATTTCATGATAATCAATACATTCCTTACAGCAAAACAACTTTGGCTAGATTTCTTTACTCTCGCTTCATTCAACCCACCTCATGTACGACGTACCGAAGTGTAAACTCAAACGCCTTCCCACGTTATATCCAATAAGGCAATATAGTGTACGCCTTCAATTATCACGTGATTAATTAATTCTTCTAGAATTAGAATATTATAGTATTGCATGCGTTTGGTCAGCGGTACTACCAGAGAATACTATGCGACAGTCTATGTCCCACTTGCCAGCAAGAGGAGCGAGAGGTCTGGGGACCATCTGGTTTAACTCCCAAAAGAGGCTAAAAAGCACTCTTGACATAAGACGCGAGAAAAATAGGAGAACTCTAAAGAATTTAACTGTCTTTCATCTCTCACAAAAATCATTAAAGCTAATTTTTGCAAATCTTGAGGCCCTCAAATTCTAGGTCAGAAACAACAATAGATTCAACACCTCTCAGTTGAAAGCTCTATAATGACTTTTGTTACAAGATACACATTACCAATTACAATAATTATTACTGTTACAAAATTTAATTTCGGTTTTAGAAAAATACATGAATTCACCTAGTTTACTGTGAACCTTGTCGGGTAATTTAAAATGAAAAGTGCTTATGTGCCAGGAAACTCGATAACAGCGCTAGAATCAGCCATAGCTTAGCCATCATTGCCACTTTTGCTATGTAAGCACATTACATTGGTTGACATTATTCCCTTTTTTTTTCTCCAATTGTTTTTTCAAGTTTTGTTTTAGCTTATCTAACTGATTAAGCCAACTCTCCTTGTCAAACGAAGTAGGAAAATAGCTTATCATAAGCTGCAAATTCCTCCCATTATATTGGTTTTGTCACCATGGCTACCGAGCTTTCTATCTGTTGCATGTTGTTTCCACCTTTATCGCCTGAGTTATTCCTGTCGCGGAGTACTGGTAACCACTTCGCGAGGAGAACACGTGACTTGTAAGCAAGCCGAAAAGGTCGCCATATTAGAGTATTTTGTAATGAGAAAAAGTAAAAATTTCCATTTCGCGACAAATCCCTTCTTTCTAGTTATTAGCCCCACTTTCTGGTTTTTGGAGGAAAACCGCGGGTCTTTAAGACAGTAATTTGAATACATTCAATAACCAACCTACCAGATTAACTCGACATTTCTTTCCATTTTGTCCCGTACGACAAAACCTTTTTGGTGGATTAACCACCTACAGACCACAGAGCTTATTAGGCAATTAACACAAAAGCTATGGTTTTGCAATTCAACATCTTCTTAACTACACTTTTTTTTTTTCTAGAGAGTTGATTAACATCGAATTTTGAAAAAGGATGTTTTAAGTCAAGCTTTAAGTCAAGCCAACATCCCTGTACAAAAACAACGAAGGAAGGAGGTGTATCGTCGTTTAAAAAACATAGCTATCTCTAATTAAATTTTGTAGTAACATGTCTGGCATCTTATGGCAATACATTAGAAAAGGCCAGCTTTCTTCCTAAGATTCGTCTTCTTCCACATTGCCAGCGCATCAAAAGCGGTTCTGGTCATGTTAAACGCCTTCTGCGAAAGAAACAAACCAAAAAAAATTTTAATTCATAAGCCTGAGAAGACAGCCAACACTGGTTTCCCCTGAGGAGCTAGCGCAGAATTCCAAACTGATGACATATGTCACTACCAAGATCTGGGTAGTACCTCAGTTCTGATCGGTCGGGCCCAGAGGGCGATTTGCTTCAACCAATCAGAAGCACTAGCTAAATCGCCATCAGTATGGAATTTCTGCGCTCTTTCCTTAGTCGACTCTACGCGGGGAAACCAGCAGTAGACTACGAGTAGTCCCCATTTCTCCTCAGGGATAGGAGTAGAGCGAAGAAACTCGAGCGCGCGTGAAAATCAAGCCACGCGAGAAAGGCGAAAAGGGGACAACACGCAGTCTAAACCAGTAGTGGTGTCGGAAATTTTTTCAGGCTTTTTATTGAATAATTCATAAACCCCTTATAAAAGCCTGTTTTATTTGCCAGCAGTCAGGTTGCACAGACTGAAGATGCAGTTCAAAGAGAAATGCAGTTCTTACCACGAAGTCAGCTTCGCTAAGGTATGTTTCAAGTCTCGAGGGATCCACTCCTTCAGGTGGTGGTTTTTGCTTGAGTTCCTCCAGGCTGTACTCTTTTCTACATGTCAAAAAACGAAGAGTTAATATAAAGAGTAAATGTCAAAACAGTCGATCAAGAAAATTAGAAATTTTTCTCTCTGATAAAACAAACATGGTTCTCCCTAGTTTATGCACGCAGTAAAAATGGAATAAATTCTTTAATAGTTTAATTTACAATAAATAAATAAATAAACTGAGAGATAAATTAATAAACTAATAATTAATTGAAGGAATAAATGTTTTCACCCTACCACTGGGACCAAATGCAAAAAGACAAACCTCGAAAGCTTTGCAAGTTCCGTTTCCAGCTTTAGAATATCTCCATCAACCCTTCCAGTCTAAAAGCAACAAAATAGAAAGAGTTCACAGTCAAACGTTTTTTAACCTGGGCTAATTTTCAGAGAAAACCAGCACACAAAAGCCTTGTACAAAATGTTACCCTGAATGGTTTGAAAGAAGGATCAAGAAGGAAAGTCACATTGTAATGCATAAACAGCCGCATAAAAAACCTATGATGTACATCTTCGAGCTGGTACGCTTCCTATTTATAGTATGTGTGAAAACAGCCTAGAGGTCCTTGAAATTGTTTCTTAAATTGTTGTATCTATTAAAATAGGCTTTTATTGGTAAATAATTGAGTCTGGAAGGGGTAAATTTCACATTAAACACTAAATAAATGTAATAGAAGAAGTACTTACCGATAGGTTTATTTTAGCCACATCTGGTTGGTCTTCCCAGAAGGGGAAAAGATTCTGGAAGGACTTCGGTTCCAGACCAGCAAACACAATAAATACTTGGGAGAAATCGCGTTCAAGTTCTGAAAACAAAAAATGACTTCATGGTTAATGTAGGGAAAACTAGAAATTCGAGGTCTTTTGCCTAAAACAAACAAACACACAAACATAAAAAAAAAACAAGTTTAGTACCCAAGTATATATAGTCGAACCTCACCTGAGCGGCCACTTATAAGCGGACAGTAATCAAAGTCCCGAAATATTTGTAATCGTCACATCAATTAAGCGGTAAATGAGGGAAAATACAGTCCGAGAGAAAAGGTGCGGACCAAAAACGCTGCTTCAGTCGCGTGTTAGTTTCCAAATAAAGAGATGTTTCTACTCACCATTATGCTAATTTACATGAAGAACCTCTATTGAGCAGCTCTATTAAGCAGAACCTCTATTAAGCGGCCCCTTGCCGGTACCCCGAGGCTAGCCGCTTATTGGGGGTTTAACTGTACTTCCTTACCATCGGAGACCCAGGTATTGACCGAGGCGAAATCAGGAGACGCAAGGTTTGCAGAAAGAATGGGAGGGCTCAGACATAAGTTGTTTCCAAACTAGTTCTAGAGAGATTTAAATTCCCAGACCCGTGTGTGGGCGAGAAGGAAACATGTTTTTTATTTATAATTTGGGAGAGAAGGAAATAGTTCCTTCAGCGGGTTGGGGAAGGGGCGGGGAGGGGGGGTGGGGGGTTGATGGTGGTGAAGGAGAATAAAACAGTACCTTGGGCGTAAGACTTTATCGTTTCCATTGCCAATCTTCGGTCATTACTCCAACGCGTTTCCGCAGAACCAGTCGTGGAAGCTCTGGATTCTGAATCTTCATCATTTGGCCACCAGCCATGCCATAGATACATCTCATTTACTGCATCTACCAGGAATAATGCTGTGGAGAAACAAACTCGGTAAGAAACTTGCTTTCCTTCACCCTTTCAACAACGCGGGGCTTATAGCTACAGGTCCCACGCAAGGCGCCTTCCCCTTCATAACTAGAAGTTAGCGTACAAAGGACTCCTCGATGACAAAATAACACTTTCATGAGAAATACATTCACTCCAAGACCAAGCTACGGCACATAATATGTTATACTAACTGTTAAATCTGTGAACGAAATATTATGGTGTTACAATTTAAAGGAAACCTCGTCAGCAGTACTTTCTCATGGCACTATTTATTTAGTATGTAGTTCTAACTTTTGAGTCTGTGGACGAAATTCTATGGTGCGACCATTTATTTCGTTGGATTTTACAAAAGAGATTTTCAAGCTACTGTTAGTAGCGAAAGGCCCCGTTAATGGTAACGCGATTCCCGAACGAAATCAACCAGTCCTAAGTTTTGCTTATCATTACCCAAATCCTTATCTGATCGGTTTCTTCACGTAAATTGTGAACAACCAGCACATTCTCTATCAATACTGCGGACCTTTCTCAAGAGGATTCAAAATCCCGCGCCAAAAATGCCGTTACTCCTAAACTTGTGTAACGGGGAGTCCAAATCGAAACATTATCCATCCCACGTTGTTACAAAATTAGATGAAAGTCGTCAATCGTGCAAATTGCAAAAATGAAACGATAGAGTAACTTTCGCTTTTATGTTGTATTAGAAATGATTACTTTCATTTTGTACGCGTAATATTGTATGTTTTTCTTTTCTCTCCCCCCCGCCCCCCACCCCTTTTTCATGTCAAAACGTGCCAAGCAAGCGTAAAAGGAGCCTTTATAGTAGGATTGCGGGTGACAAGAGTGGGCTGCAATTATTGGTGTAACACTAGTTCGCAACCAATCTCAGCTCAGCAACAAAGAAAATAAGTAGTTTTCAAACCTCCGTTGTTATTTGATGCGGTACAAAACGAAAAGATGAATGCTGTAGCAGAACTTTTTAAACGCTAACTATACTCACTGCCCCTGATTCAACTGCTTTAGTCTTAACTAAAACGAATAGGCGAGTTTTCGTCAAGGCCAATGAGCTCGTTAAATTTATGTGTAATTTTCGGCTTTTTGCAAGCCATAACAAAGAAAATAGCAGCCACTGAGGACTGCAAAATTGATTCTACCATAGACTGGGTTTCGACATTAAGATTACCACCGCTGAGCTGGACTTCAGCTCTAATTTAAGGCGTGATTCCAGAGGTCAATATGCAAAATGGAGTCCTCGTATCTAACACTTTGCGTCGTAAATGCTTTTCTATCTTCCATCACCTCTATACTCAATATTCTGACAATCTACGCGATAAGAAAGACTCCGTCCTTGGCAAAGAATTTAAAAATATTGCTTCTGAGTTGAGCAGTTTCTGATCTTGGTATTGGTTTACTGGCGCAGACTATGTATGTTGCACAACTCACTATGCAGTGGAAATACCGCAATGAATCTTATAATGCCATTTATATCGCCGATCTTATCCCGACGAATATCTTTATTACTGCCACATTGTTTAGTGTCATGGCTCTATGTGCAGAGAGATTTTTGGCAATTCAACTTCACCTCAGATACCAGGAACTTGTGATGTACAGGCGCGTTGTAATTGCCGTAATCTCAATTTGGGTATTTAGCACACTTACTTCATTGCTCAAGTAATGGATCGCAAAAAATATCATGTTCGTATTTTTTGTTATTAAAGATTTTTCTTCTATTGTAACTGCAACTTTCCTGAGCATCAAGCTTTACCTTACTCTACGACGCCACATGAATCAAATTCAGCTCACCCAAGTTGCGCGGAATGAGCAAGGCGAAAGTGTTCAAAGAAAAAGGACATCTGCGATGGCATCGCATTACGTGTATTTGGTTTTCACAGTTTGCCATTTACCTAATATTTGTGTGTTAATTATCATCGCTTCCACTTCCGAACCGAGGAACGATCTACAGCATTTGCATTCTTATACTCTGATCCTGTTGTTTCTTAATTCAACCCTTAACCCACTGATCTACTGCTGGAAAGTGAAACAGATTCGACACACTGTGATAGCCACACTGCGAAATATATTGTCAAGACATCAGTTAACGAAACCTTTGGGAGGATTCAGAACGCCTTATCAAGTACAAACCGGCGTCAAGCAGTTCAACCTGCGGGAGATGACGGCATTTTCAAGTTACACTAACTACACAAAATTTAAGAGAGCTTCAGTGTGATGTGTCTTGCGTCTAAAACTATTTCACCTCTTTTCACCTTCAAAATATTATCTAGTTATGAAAAATATCACAGATTTCATGACTGTCTAAGAAACAACAACTATTTTCAACCCTTATCTTGGGAGTTGTAAGTCGTTATTGCAACGCCAAAGACCGCACGTCATTAGCTTTCCAGTATCAGCGCATTAGGCGGCATAATATTGAAAGTAGTCAAGAAATAGCGAATTTAATAAAAAACGCTATACTTACCTTATTCTTTCAAGATTTTATGACTGAGATCAACACCGCTATGCACTAAAATTGTTCGGACGGGTTTTCTACATCGAGAATTGCCATTTTAGAGTATTTTGCAACAAAAACAGAGCAGGAACATAGCCCTGCATGTGTTCTCTCAACATTTCCTTCGACCGGCGGATGCGATAAGGCGGCTCCATGCAACGGAAAAATGTTTGGACAAGGTTAACGGTGATTTGATTAATTTTGGGGTGGAAACCAAACTGATTGCTTTCTTTTGATTTCTAATTGCTTTGAAAATTACACATAAAACACAAAAAGCAATCGTACAGAGCGTCTTTACAACAAGTGAGACCGAGTAAAATATACTAACATGTTCATCCATGTAGTTGGGTTAAAAGAATGACGAGGAAAAATTTATAAAGGTAACTATTCTAAACATAGTTGATCCAACAGCCTTAGTTTAAGTTCAAATAATAAGCAGCACGCCACATTGCTAAATATTTTAATGAATTTAGGTTTATATCAGAGAATACGGAGGACAGATAGGATTTCGCCTCTTTTCCGCATTTCGGGATACAGTGTAAAATATATGATAGCATATAACGCCGACAGTGGTAAAACTACAAATATATATACATATATAAAAACTTTAATTATGACTTACTGTCAAAGGTGGAAAAAAAAATGATGGACAAGTTGGTTTTCCGATGATTACGTTGAACTGAGTTTAATTTGTTAAACAAAACCCCTGTTTTCTAATTGCTTTAAAGCTTAAATATGGAAACCAATATTCAAAACAATTTTACAACCTGTTCAAGTGACAACAAGGAAGACATCTCTTTTGACACACAAAGAAGAAGCCGCTTGTTAAAAGGAAACTTTTTGTCTCTACTCTGTAAAAGAGAAATCTTGGTCAAAGTTATCCTCCTAATCAAAGGCTAGCTTATTGACCGTTGGGGACAGTGCACAATAACTTATTCTACTGCAATATCTTGCTTTACGACAAATTCAAGAAAGGATAACAAATGGATTCCTCGTACCTCACACTGAGCCTTTTAAACGCATTTTTATCTTACGCCGCCACCATGCTAAACATTGTTACAATCCACGCGATCAGAAAGACTCCGTCTTTGTCAAAAAATTTAAAAGCATTGCTCTTGAGTCAGGCCTTTTCTGATCTTGGTGTCGGATTGCTGGCTCAGCCAATGTATGTTGCACGTCTTATTATGGAGTCGAAGCTAAACAGTGGGGCTAACAGTTCTTATAATGCCATCTATATCGCGTACCTTATTCCGACCAATTTATTTACTCTCGCTATGTTGTTTCTCATTGTTATTCTGTGCGCTGAGAGATTCGCGTCCGTTCATTTTTACCTTAGTTACCATGAACTTGTGACACAAACGCATTGTCGCCGTTGTCGTCTCAATTTGGTCCCTTAGCGGAGTTCTTTCATCAATGA